AAAACAGGCAAACAATGCAGAAGAGAACAGTAAACAATGAGCAGGCTGATGAGGTGAGTCAGAAATGTGCAGCTCCGGAGCCACAGATACCTGCAGGAGGACGAAATGACAGAAGGTTAGTGACATGCAGTAGTAGCATATAACTGTAAATCAGGGTTCTTCTCATTGTAAGTGCATGTCAGTAGTTTATTGCAGTTTATTTACTGTACTTGCAGTCAGAGTTGGGAGATAGCTGAGGGCAGGACCACTGGATGTCGACCCCGAGGCCTATAAATCACCTGTAGTATGCGTGGAGCTCGATTACCGCTGCAGAGCTGGAACCAAAAGAGTCGAGTGCTGAAAGAGGAGCCAAGTAAATAATATAAAACCGAGTCCATCACTGCTGCTCTGGAACAATTCTCTGTGGCAGCTTATTATGAGTGGAAAACAATGGCCATAGCCTTTTAGGAAAATAAGACAGAAATTAAATATTGCAATACAAGATTATGTTAGTTTAATTAGTGAATAAGGAAAAAATACAGTTTTTAAGTTTTGTTTTTTGACACATTATGGTGAAACTGTAATAGAAAAGGGGCTATTCGTGTATACGGTGTCTGTGAAATGTGTTTTACTGTCTTTAAAAGTCTGGAAAATAGATGTAATTGGCGGTGTAAGGGGTCACGACTACAAAGGACTGCAAAAATAGTTAGCTGAACAGAAGGTCCCATTTCTCCAGAGCCAGTTGACAACACTTCCTATTAATAGTGAGGATTGTCCTTGGGTATTTTTATAAAAGGAGTGTGAGTGTGTGCATGAGGAAAGTAAGGCAGAAGGGGATGAGGCTTTCTCAGAGAAGACAGATAGGAAAAAGCTCGTATTACAGCAGCCTTACGCACTGCTGGGCTCATGCGTCACAACTTGCTTTCACTCGCCGGCTTGTATCACTTTCCCCAAAGCTTCTCCTCCATCCTCCTCACATATTCCATGTAGCTTTGGTTTTTGTCTGTAATTTCCTCCACTGTGCTTTCACACAGACTCACACCCTCTGGTCTATTTTTAGCCCGCTGTGTGGTTTGAAGGTAGAGTTGTGTCGACCCCTCGTCTCACCCCGGCTCCAGGCCTTACAAGGACCCCCTGGTGGACATGGTTGTCTAGCAACCGGCCATGTTTGCACCTAAGCTGTGAAGGTCCAGCGCACGACCCACACCTGCCCTTCATCATCTTAATTATCGGCGTCACCATCACCCCCTGTCCTCCTTCATATCGTCATCGTTATCTTGAGCCTGGTGTGTTAAGGCGGCATTAGAGGAGCCAAGTTGTGCTGCTCTGTCTTGAGATTAAACTGCTGGGAGTGGAGGTGAAAGTCGGATGCTGAAATGTTATAGTGATAAAACGTTGGCATACCGGATGTAAAATTTCTGAAAGTGAGAAGAGAAAATGGGCATTCAACCTAAAACAGGGCCGCATTGATAACACGGTTCATGTGCAAAATTTGGCAGCATCAGTGAAAAAAACAGATGGGATGTGGCATTAGTTCTCCAAAACACACTGCTTTAAAGTGTGCAGTGAGTTGCATCAATGGCTACAGAGGAAATTCAATTGTTTCCTCTTCAAAATAGCCTCCAACTGTTTAGTGCTGCATTTCTGAAACACTTTTGCTCCCACAATAGACAGTTCAGTAAAGGGGAGGTCATATTAAAGTAGAGAATAAAGTTTACTGCAGAATCATTAGCATGTTTGTTCGGCAGTAAGACGCTGCTGAAGTCCCAAATGAAGGAAGAGGATGAAGAGAGGACTTTAAGGCAGATGGCTGATAAGGCTGGCTGAGATGCTCTGGCTTGTGGAACATGTGCAGATAGATCACTAAAGTTTGGATTGGGAGTGACAACGTGGGAAACTGAAAGTGATGAGGAGAATAGAGTAGAAGGAATATTCAGACAGTGGAAATGAACAGGTCTCTTGTATTGGACTTATGCATAAACTTTAAAGTCAGTGCAGCAATTCTTCTTTCTTATTAAAACCTACATTACCTGAAAGGCTGTCACACAAAGCTGCCATGGGATTAATTATGCAGAACTTTAAGTTTTCATACAATTTAAACACCTTATACAGTTATACCGCAGGGGAAATAAGCTATAAAGACCAAAATCATATTTTGTACTGCACTGTAAACATGTTTATTTTATGCTGTAGAGTTGGTCATTTTAACACGAGGGTCTATGAGGACTGACTCACTTTTGAAGCCTCAAGTGTCCATTAACATAATTGCATCAGACCAAACCAACACTGACTAAAGCTGCGTCACTGAAGGCAATTTATCAAACTTTGTGCAGCTCACAAAGGACTAAACAGTTTGCCGCTAACTGCGTTGTGCTTTAAAGTTGCATAAATCTTCTGTCAAGCTCTGACGGCTTTTTGTCAAGTCTGAAGAAAAATGACTCTGATGAATTTGTTTGCTTTGGCCTTGGAGATGATGCTTTCATACCAGAAAGGATAAGAAATAACAGAGTGAAGACATGAGCATTTACCTGGCCAGGTGCTTTTTGCACATCAGTTTTGACAAAAATGTACTTTTTACTCATCTGCAAACCAAATAGAAGAAATTTATCAAGACTTCAAATGCCTAAGTAGCTATCAAATATATACAAAACAATATATATATATATATGTAGTATTTCTGTACAAGTGTTTATAGTGTGTATATGCATGTATATAGTGTTGATTTCTGCGTGTATACAGACGTGTTTATTTTCTATTTTTGATTGTCATTCTTCACTTGAAAAAAAAATTGTAAAATTGTACATATGGAATTTTTTGTATTGTATTCTTATTTTTTCTGCTTACTTTTTAATATATTCTTATATAATTATTTATTTTGTGTGCTTGCTACTGTGATCAAACAATGTCCCTTGTAGATCATTAAAGTTTGTCTAACAGGAAAAATGCACTTCATCTTTTAAGCTGAGAGTTGGAAGACGCAATGACAACCACTCACATATTTTGTGGTGAATATAAAGCAAAACCTAAAGCTTAGCACTGAAACTGGAGGGAGGAAAACATCTAACCTGGTTCTATACAAATGTGACTAAATGCACCAACCAAGATGTCTATTTAATACATCTTGCTTGTTTAATCGGCACAAATCAGTTTAATTTGAGAGGCATCAATCCAACTATCACTAGAAAGCACATCATTTTGTCAAATGTTGCGCTAATACTTTTACTTATGACATCAGACACACTTCATATGCATTAATAAAGATGATTACACTCTTCATTTTTGTATGCACAGTAAAAGTGCTCCCCAAATATGAACAGGTTCTTTACTCCAGTGGTGAGCTCCTGGATCATTACGTCTATCTTTCAAGCTATCACAACCATTCTGAACCTAATCCTTACACTTCTATTAATAATCACGCTGCTGTTGCGTCTTTGACAGAGTTCTCATAATAAGCAATTACGGCGACCATCATCTTTAATATTATGTTTCTTTACCGACTCGCCATTTCACCTCATTTCACCCCGATGTCCATCAATGCTGCAAAGTCCAATTAGGTTAATGATCCCTCAGAGACGGACCGAGTGTGACAGTGAGCTGTGATAATGATGGCAGGGCTACAAGGAGAGTGGAGGAGCAGAAAGGTCGAGGCCATTAGTAAGAGACAGCTGCCGGAGACAGAGTGACATGTTGGAGGACAGAGGAGCAGCACTGACAGGGCGTTACTGTCCCAAGTTATACGATAAATAAATCTTAATGCGCATGAGGGAAGATGAACAACATATGGTGAGAAACGGAATCACAGGTGTGGAACTGGAAAGTGATGTTTAACAAACTTTTGTCAGTTTTCTTGGTTGATGTTTAGGTAAATAATTTACATGAAGGACAGCAGATTTATGAAATTAGTCGAGTAATTTAAAAACAACAAAGTTCCAGGACGAAAAATGAAAGCAGTGGGCTAAAAGTTTCACACGATCAAAGGTCAAATACCATGAAACTGATAGGAACTGTGGAGATGGGTCAATGCAGAAACATGTACCCAATGTTGAACTGGGTGTTTTGTTTTCATCAATCATGACGGGTGTTCATGTCAGATAATGATTTGATAATTGAAACATAATGCATGCATTTCCTTTTATGTATTCTGCATATTTTGCTAAGTATTTATTGACAAAGCAATTAAAGGTTTAACTTGTTACTTTAGTCCCTGCATATGTAATCACCAAAACTGCTCTGGCACACTGGATCCAGGACCTCTGGGGGTGAGGCTGGTTCAACACTGGCAGCTCTTGGTCAGGTTCCTCGAGCTTATCCCGATTAGTTTTTGGGGTGTGGTGGGTTGCACTGTTATGCTATTTCGGGGAGGGTTTAGTCTTTAACAGTGGAGGTTGGAGTCAAAATAGCATCCACATGAATGCCAGGAACCAAGGTTTACCTGAGGAGCACTGCATTGTAACTACGCACTTTACCTGTCAGTGGTTTTATTGTTCCTGGACAAGATATTTACACATCAAAGGATTGAATATAACTTTAGGGTGTCCCACAGGCCAAGATAACCACAATGCAACACCTCATCTCCCCGTTTACTACAAACAGGACAAAACACAGTCAGGAGAAATTGTCGCCAAACTCCACAAAACCAACAAACCAAAATAGCCCCATCTTCCTTTGTACTATAAACAGCACTAACTGTGGTCAGGAGAAAACTCCACAAAACCAACAAAGCCATCTGCATGACAGAAGCAACAGGTGAACGGACAGAATACAAGTATGGCTGGTTGAGCAAGCAGAGAGCGATAGACCGATTAGATTTATAATTCGTTTCCTCTTTTCCTTTTGTAAACAGGTGTATACTGGGAAACACGATTTTAGGTCATGAACTTCCTACATCTGTAAATATCACTTGTACTTTCTTTTTCATTTGTTTTTTTTTAAAGACACACACATATGCACACATAAAAGTTCATACCTACATACATGTATTATACTATGTTCCTCGAACACAACAGAAAACACCACAGGAGCATTGGAGAATATTTTTATTTATTCTCAAATAACAGGATAATGTTGTGATGACTGTCGCATTACAGTATAGAAATCGTTTACTGCTTACACAAACTACAAAAACTCTTCATAGAATTCAGCCATTTGGTTTTAAAATGATCACTTTTGTCAATACTGAACGAATGCATACGATCTACTGAAGCACAGACATTCCTTCTGATGATCTAAACGTTACATCAAAATTACCGTTTTGTTTTTAAGACATCAATAGAAACATGTAAAAATCTCATAAATTCTAATTTCTGTCGAAGCAATAAAAAATATTCAGTATTCTAAATATGTGAACCGAGGAGCCATTCACAGTAGCAATGACGGCTGATGAAGTTATTCATAATATAGTTCACATTCAGTAAAGTGTGGACCAGACAACGCGTGGATGAGTAGCGACACGGGACTTAACTGAGCTCACCTTCATCTCAGAGACAAATTTATGTCAAAAGTGTAAAAATATACATGATATATGATATATATTTATATATATACATACATTAAAATACAGTTATTTCCAGTTTAAAGCCATCAGCAAGTATTTTCCAAAACAGAGATCAGAGATTCATATTAGAAATCAGTTTAAAATCATTTTGGAACCATATAAGTCTTCAACAATACAACAAATAGAGTTCTAGCGTGATATTTTATTAAAGAGTTAATAAGAGAGGATTACTACACAAATAATGAAATAAAAGGCGTTAAAGTGAATTTAATGTTCCTGCCAGACGTTTGATCCCTAAAAACTGATCAAAAGGTAAATTAGAGATTAATGAATTGATTGTCAGGCTGTTTTTTTTTTGTTTGTTTTTTTGTTTTTCAATGTTGTCACTCTAACAGAAGACACTTCAGTGTTTAAAAATGTTAGTAGGAACTTTAAAAAAGACTGACTTTGACTAAAACTTGACTCCTTTATGTTTCCAGGCACGAAACTCTGACCAGCAGACACACACACACACACACACACACACACACACACACACACACGCACACAAACACATGCACACGCACACACAAGGTCGCCACAAACGCACATTTTTTAACGCAGTCCAGTTTGCTTTCATTGGCATGTGTGTCTTTCGTGTTAGTAGCACATTATACATGTAGAGTTTAATATCTGGGTTATAATAACATGTAGAGTAACAGTAACAAGAAGAATGATATATTTTACATGATGGCTTGTCTGGCGCCACTAGTTAAACTTCTCTTCCAATGTCATGGTGATTTAATTTTTAATTTTTTTATTTTTTTTTAAGGCCTTTTTGATGTTTCCTTGTAAGAATCCCTACAGAATAAAAGTGTGTGCGTGTGTGTGTGTGTGTGTGTGTGTGTGTGTGTCATGTGAAGCCAGGAGCCCTATAGGTTGCTGAAGAGTTCGTTTTTCTTGGTCCAGTCCATGGGCGGGGCTCGCTTGTTGGAGCGTTTCTGGTGGGCGAGCTCTTTGACCTGCTGCAGGCTCAGATTGAGAGCTGGGATGGCGTCTGCGATCAGACCCTAATGAGTGGAAACCAAGGAGAGAGAATGGAGATGAAGATAAAGAACATATTTCAGCAAAGAGCATGCTGTTGCCATGTGTTTTTTGTGCCGTACCTCAGGCGGGGTGTTTGCTGGCGGGGTCGTGAGCGAGGTGTTGGACGAGGCGTTGGATGGAGAAGGACTGATGGACAGCTTTGAGTCCCTCTCTGCCTCTTTGGCCACTCTGCCGTTCACCTGTGGAGACAAACTCCCATCAGCATCACTTTATTACCACAAAGATGCTTTAGCCAGCCTTCATGCAGCAACAGACTCCACCACAAGAGGGCAGGCTTGTATTTGAGTTGTTTCCTGTTTAAGCACAAGCCGACTTCACTTAGAGGGACCTATGAAGTGGCATTTACAGCTTACCTTTTATCACACCAGCCTTTCAGACACATATAGAGTTTAATAAAAGCAAAATATTGAGCAGATAAAGTGAAAATAAAGACTGATGGAGGTTGTTTTTTTTTGCTTTTTTTACCGTTCCACAAGTCTGCAGGTGGCGGTTCCCGTGTTCGCTTCTGCTCTGAATGTTTCAGGGCCAAAACATATTTCCGATCTGCTGCTCAACCATCCAGATCTCTCAGGTCTACTTTCTGGAAGCTTTCAGTTTTACTGCATCACTGCAGGTTTTCTGCAACTTTCAGTTCTTTTAAATCAAGGCTGACGACTCTTCTGTTTGCTTCTGCCTTTCATTAAAACCAAATCTGAGGCTTTTAAATATTTTAAAGCGCACGACTTTTCATCCTATCGTACTGTTTATTCTCTATGTAACTCTTAATTGTGTGGAAATGTCTTTTTTTTTTTAATCGTTTATGCTCCTTTTACACATTGTCTTGGTGCTAATTATGTTTCATATGAAGCACTTTGAACTGCCTTGTTGTTGAAATGTGCTGTACAAATAAAACTGCCTTCTCTTACTGCCTTGCTGCACTGCCATTATTTAAAAAAAGGTATAAAAGCAAACAACAAAACAAAACAAAGATATGTGTAGTTATCTAGAAGGAAGTATTTAAAACATTTTCTCTGGGAAAAATGTCATGGAATCATGTTCAGATTTGTGAAATTTGAGAAATTCTTCCTTGTTTTCCTCACGCCTGAACCACTTGTCACGCGTTGATTTTTCCCCCCTGGCAGTTTGAATAAGCTAATAACGCTGAAGATATTTAACCCGCCGCCCTCCAATCTTCCACCTGGCAGATGACTTCTCCCTGACCTCTCGCTCCTCCAACCTTTTACGCTCGTTACGCAACAATACGTGGAACATGCAACTACCGCTGCTGCACATACAGTTCCCCGAGTTACGGGAAGTCCGGGTCAGGCTTCACTTTGCATATCTGGCCCGGCGCCCAAGTGCGAGGCTGCCACACACCGTAAACACAGTGCTTTCTTTTAGTTTGTCCACATCCAGGCCTGCCATTATCTCAACCCATCAACGCTGATTTACATAAAAGTATTCGCATGGGAACAAGACACTCCGGTAACCTGAGAGGCCCTTTAGAAAGCATTCCTGCGATACAACTAACAATGAGAACTTTCACAGACATGAAAGCGGAATCTATCTTCTCACCTAACACTCCACCGGAAAGTATTTCTCAATATGTCAAACTACTCCTTTACTCCTTCTGGGAACGGTTGTGTCTCCTCGGGATTAAGCTCAAATCCTTCAGCAGGATTATCACGAAGCTTCTCCGTTTTAATATGCCAATTACACCCTACGCTATGAACTATTTTTTTGTGTACACTCACTGTCAAATAACTCATAAGTTAATGGAGCTGGGTGGAGTTTTTCTTTTTTACACAGCACCACACAATGAGCACCAGAACGTTTAGACAATCACAGGAAAGCCCGTTCAGTACACGTCTGTGATTAATAACCCTGATGTGGCACACCACACCTGAAAAAAGAGCCCCGGCCTGCTTCGCCACACGAGGAGCTGCAGTGCAAAAGCTGAGCTATCCTCCTCACGGCTGCGTCGGTGAAGAGGGAAGTGGCCTCTGCGGGAGACTGACAAATCTTCACTCGCTTTAAAGTTCAATTCCTGCTTTTGGCTTTGCTCTAAAGCAGATTTTCAAACCAAATGACAGCTCTGCAGGTTTTCAAGTGTCACCCTGAGTTTCACTTTTCCTCTGTGTGATACGTCTCTGCTGCTGCTGAGTCTTACCTTCTCCTCCATCCCTCCGTTAATGACAGGCTCTGGCAGCGGACCTGTCGACAAGGAAATCACACAACAGTCACTCATGGTTTCCCAAAATACAGCTCTCCCCCGTCTTTCACCCTCACTGTCTGTCTCGTCCTAACGTCGTCATGATGCTTTATGTCCTTCAGTGGCAGCGAGGCACCACTGGAGCAGAGAGATCCCCTCCGCTAGATCAAGAGTCTTCCTGCAGCTCACCTTTCATTCCACCAACACCTACTCTATTACATAGCACAGGTATGAGCACATTATCCATTATGCATGTGTGGGTCATCTTCTATGAGATGCTCCTGGTCCACTTTACCTCCCCCTCGTCCTCCAACCAACTGTTCAAACAGCTGAAGTGGAACATTTTCCCTTGTTTTTTGTCATAAAAATGCCCTGACATTCCCATATAACCAACGAGCAATACTGAAGCACTCAGAGATGTGGCGCCTGCAGACAGATTTCATACCTTACCTTCCATCCCGCCAACAAAAAAAAGTGTTTTGAGCTAATTATTGCAGGTATCAGCTGGTCCTTCAGAGTTAATCTGAGCTGTGAGTCCTCGGGTCTTTGTTGTGTTTGTGTCCCTGACTCTGAGAGGAGCCTCTCCAAGTCCTAATACAGCTCCAGCTCTGGGCTGAGAGGCCACTTGGAGCGAGCACCTTGGAAACCAAACAAAGGTTCTGGCCAGCCGGGCTGATCGGGGAGATGCTGTGTGTGTGTGTGTGTGTGTGTGAGTGTGTGTGTGGATGTGAAGAGTCAGCGTAGGCAGGTGCCCTCGGAGTGGGCAGCATGTGAAGTGCAGGCAGTTACCTGGGAAACTCCTCAGTGGAATCTCTCCCCTGTAGAGCGTTATTATTTTTAATCCTGGACTCAAACACTGCTGGTTCAAGAGTCAATACATCCAGCTACAGTGGAGGAAATGACTAGCCATACTAAAGTGCTATATTTAAATGAGATTTTGAAATGCTTTCCATTTTACACTGCAACATGCCTTTACGCCACCACATTTCATCATCATTTCATGTTTATTTAACAGCTGTAATTACGTTTTAGATTTCAGATTTTACATAAAAACACTGAAATGCTGGTCACACTGCAGCTCCTTAGCAGCTCCACTAACGAGACATTTAAATAAATAATAGCTCAAGTTGTTGATTACACTACAAAAAAGAATTTGAGGAAAGTTTTTAAAATAATTGCAGATCTGTGTGTCAAAATCCACTTTTTGAGAGACCAGGCCCCTAAACTGGGTACCTCTGAACCTAACCACCTGTTTGAGTGTTAAACTAGAACAGCAACAATGAGATGATTTATTAATTAGTAATTCTGAAAATTAAAACAATCCTTTGTGTCTTTTTTTTTTACGCTAGAATGCCAAACATCTGTGTGCAATATTTATACTTATATTTATATTTATGTCAAGACTTCCATTCACAAAGGAATCTGTGCAATACTGTGTTTTCTATGATTAGTACTTACGTATGTCTTGGTTTGTTTTTATTTGTGTACTACATTTCCTAAGTGTTTGCACCATCTTTGCTGCTGTAACCTTACAAAGTTTCCCACTTTGGGATTAATAAAGGCTATTCTTATTTTATTTCATGGATCCACCTTCTTAAATATGAAAGTTTTTTGTTTTTATGCATGACTGTAAACTGAGCATCTTTGTGTTCTGGACTTTTGCTCTGACAAATCACGATATCTGAACTCATCATCAGAAAAGTGATCGGTAATAAATATATAATCATTAGTGGCAGCCCTAGTTTAAACCAGCCATCTTGATGCAATTCAATTTTCAGTTCAAATACCTTTATTTATCCCTAGGGGAAATTCAAAATGCCAGATACATCTCTACTTCCTCCACAATAACATCACATTCAAATACTGTGTATCAGTGGCCATTTTACTGCACAACCAGCACACTGATGTTACTCTGATGCATTTTGAAGACAATATTTATGCACTTTATCTAATTCTGATTTTTAATATACGAGTTTTTCTTGCAATTTTGTATTTTTACATTTAGCACTGAAGGACTGAACGTTTCTTTCATTGCTGTTCAGCTAATTTATTAAGATTCATTTTGACAAACATTACAGAAACGTAACGTTTAAACGACTCTCCTCGTTCTGACTCTAACACGGATGCAGCTTCCTCCCTTTGTACCCCTCCTGTTCCCATGCCAACAGCTGGCAGCATCATGTCTATATGAGGGGTCTCTTGTGGCACTCCAACAAACTCTCACATCCCACCTGCCCGAGGACCAGCTGCTGCACGGTGAAGGGACCAGATCACCGGCTGTACGAGGGCTCCCTCTGGGGGCTCCAGCAGGGACACCGAGACGAGATTTAACCCTCTGAACTCCAAGCTGTCTGGGCATTTTTACTCACTGTAGGCTCATTTTTCATTGCAAAATAAAGTCGTGCACCTTCATGAAAACAGCACAACCGTCAGACTCCTATATCTGGGTGGAACAACAGACAATCTGTTCTCCAAGAGTGATTGGTATTTATCGCTTGTAAAAAGGTGATTACCAAAAACTGCTACAAATCGGAGCCCCCCAGCCTTAAACAATGCATGGATGTAGTTAAAGGACTATTTACAATGGAAAAGATGACTTTCTCTCTAAGAAATAGAACTGACTTTTTCCAAAAATGGGACATTTATTATAATTTAATTTAATATAAATACATGTTTAACCCTGCTATGTTCTGTTTTTTCTATATAATGTTAGAAATGTGTAATTGAAAATAATTAGTTAATTTAAAAAAAGAAAGAAAACAGCACAACCATAGCTAGACATGGAGGGGGACGTAGCTCTAATGCCATAAATAATAACAATGATTTTAAAAAAAACGTAAGAAAAAATATAACTTAAATTTATTTGATTGCTTATTCCACAAAAATGAATCCTGGAATCAACATTTTTTAGAAGTCCCCACAAGTGTTAACACTGGAACAAATGGCTGTTTTTAAAAATTATTTGTTTCCATACCTGTCATCTATCTGTTTTGTGTAAACACAGCCTGCAGTTCAACCAAGTTTAGCCAAAAATTCCCAGAATTTCTGTCATGTAACTGTTGGTGGAAGCTGAATGACTCATTCCTTCATGGTTGTGCTGATGAAAGCAGAATTTTAATTTTTTTTGCAGAATGTAGTTATTGACAACTATTTATTTTTGGCAAATTTTGAAACGAGACGTGTAGAATAAAGTGATTCATTTAAGTGGTTAATCTTCCTGATGGACCATCACGTCACAGATGAGTAGCTGATGATTCTTTCTGTTTGGACAGTTTGTAGATTTTGTTTTTAAAGACAGCATGCCTTTCAAACCCAGAGTTCACCAGGGGTTAATGCCAACCAGAACTCCCTTAATCAATCTCTGACCTTTTTGTTGAGATAAAAAAGGCGAAACAATAATCTCTTGAATCCCTCAAGTATGAATTCATCAAGAGTGAAAGTTCAATATTGACATTGGAACAGTTTTAAACTAAATAAAACGAGGTCCCCTTCCTGGTACTTCCAAATGCATCTTGTGACTTTTGAAACTTGTAGTTGTTTTTGAGTATCAAGTTTCAACGCTAAACTTTTGTGAGAGAGCGCTCCACAGCTAAGCCTTTAAACCTCACAAACAATATGTTCAGTCAGCGCAGTCTGACTCTGATGTGCTCTATTTATGTCTAAAAGATTAACTTTCCCCTGCAGGGCATCAATATTAGGATGGAGGGGGGGCAGGAAGTGGCTCTCTGTGTCTGTCTGTGATCCTTGGCAGAGCAAGAAAGCTGGAAAAGAGTGAGAGAAAGAAAGACAGAAAGAAATAAAGGAGGAGAGGGAAGAGCAGAGCCAAGAAGCCGTGTGACTGACTTTTAATTTACTGCTGTTTACTGGAGACGAGGGGGACGTCTAGTGTCTCTGACGTGTCTGTGAAACGCTGACTGGCCGTGAACCTGGAGTGAATCTTTACAACCTAGTTGCAGTCATTCCCTCTATGAATCATCCCCTCACCGGTCAGGTGTTCGGAGGTCGGGGTCACTCGGCACCTCTTGAAGAAGGCGTCTGTTTCGGGGTCCACCACCAGCAGCCGGGCCTCATGACCGCCGGCTTTAATGGCAGCGACTACTTCTGAATGCGTCTTCCCCTCCACCGACAAGCTGTTCACCTGAGAGGGAGAAGAAAATATTATTATCTTTTTAAACTTAGCAGCATGACTGGAAATCCTTCAGTCACTATTGTTTCTCTTTCTGGGCTGCCTGTCTTTGTCCCCCCCCCTCCCCACACACACACACACACACACACACACACACACACGAGTGAGCAAACTGTTTTATCACTGTCAGGGTTTCTTTCTCAATATTATCACTTTGTCTGCCAGAGGCTCCGGGGGAGGAAATCCTGCGCGTCCGCACACAAATGCACGCTCGCATACTTTCAACAACTTGCAAAACAATCTGCACAACAGCTCTTTTTCGTTACCCCTCGTATCTACATGTGCGGGACTGCTGCCATTTAAACTGTCAGGTGGCTCTGCTGAGACCAGCTGAGCGTCGCGGTATAAAATCTCCATGGGAAAGCATGTGAGAAATGTCTCAAAAGGGCGTGTGCATGTGTGTGTGTGCGTTTAGGTCATAGGGTGGACCTGCACGTCTAAGCCAGGCCTACAGAGGAAGCTGGACAATAGCAGCTCGGCCAGTAACAGCAGCAACAATGGCTGTCCGCTCCTCACAAAGCCCCGCTCCTCAGTGGGTGGTGTGGACGTCTGGGGCCCTCTCAGGGACTGGAAACCCCTTCTCCAGGCTCCCACACAGACCCTTATAGTCCCTCTAATCCTTCTGTATTTTCCTTTTTTTTTCTCTCCCCTCTTCATTTCACTTTATTTCTCATGCTGTCTGTTCGCTCTCTGTTGGGGAGGGAGAGGAGGCGTTCACGTCAGAGGACAAAGCAACACTCTGATTTCACCCTGTGTTATAAAAAGTATTACACCAAATGAGTCAGAGGTGCTCATTGTGAGTTGGTGGCTTTCTTCTCTTTTTTTTTTGCATGTAATCTTGTTTGCTTCTGCTCATACACATATGTACAGATATTGACAGTGAATTAGTGCATTTTGTGTAATTAGACATTCTCATTAGGACTATTCAACCATTCCATAGAGCTTCTGCATGCAGATTTCTACAGGTCTATATTAAACAGCCAAAGAAAAACACCTATTAGTGCACGCAGGGCAGAATTAGGCTGCTACTCATTGATTACTAAGATTTAAAAAAGGATGCTTTACTGTTAACAGGCCCTAAACTATGAATACACAATGTCAGAATGTTTCTTTACTGTCGCAGATGCAAAACAGAGCCAGAGATGCACTTCCTCTTAAAAATGTGACAAATCCGCTGATATAAGTGAAGAACACTTTAAAGGTTTGACTTGTTTATTCCAAACTTCTAGACTGCGAGATGACAGCGAACAGCAGCAGATTCTCTGTTAGCAGAGAACAACATAATATGTGACACATAATTAAAACATCACTGAATATTGCAGTAATCTTAACACAGCCTATTATACACATGGCACACACACAAACACGACACATACTAATTGTCACTTGTCTCTTATTCTTTTATCATCTTTTTCAATTTCTTTATTCTACGCAATAAGTTGTCATTTTTTCTTTATAATTAGTTTTCGACTCATCCTGGATACTTTAGCAATATTGTTACTCTTATGAAATTCATACCAATAAAGCGGGCTGAAGTGTAGTTTTTGCTATTACAAACACACACACGCGGTCTCTGCGGGCCAGTATACAATTAAAAAAGAAGCAGTGTGCTGAGGAGAACCCAGAGCAGTTAAGAAGCTGAAGACTCCAGGGTGCGGCTGTTACAGCTGAGCTCCCTGATGGATTTAAGACCCCACACAGTGTGTTATCCACATCATATTATTCATAACACACAGCTAACATTAGGAAACCACTTCTTCTCCTCTGAGAAAAGGATTAATAAAACCTGTTGGAGGCCGTTTTCATTGGGGCTGAACAATCTGAGGAAAACTGAGCTTCAGCTCAATATTCATTATGTAACAGATTCAAAGTGGATCTGAATAACTAGATTATTTACACGAGTGCTAAAAATTCTTACAGGTTCAACACTTTAAGGAACGCTAGACGAAAAAATATAAGTAATCAATGTTACTCTTGTCAGAGTAGTAAAGCCCCACCTTATCTTTGTGTAGACCGGCTGCCTTGGACGTCCTACATTTGTTTTCACTAATAAACCAGTAATTGACTTGGTGGAAGATAAGAAACTTAAAACTAAAACCCTACACAATGCAGTTCACTTTGCACTGTCACTGGATGCAGCAATGAATTCTATGAGTCAGAAACCAAAGAAAGATCGTCCACTTTTAGTGTGACTCACTGGATGTAGGCTGCAGGTGTAAGCCTTTGTTCTCCTGCATGCTACTGTGATGAATATTTCAAGTTTTGCTGAGGATTTGGACTGTGCAGTAATGCAGCCTTGACTGTTTTTTTCATTGACAATCCATTTAATTGACAGTTCCACCACTACTATTCCACCCATCACCATTTTGAGGGGATACTGAAGCCCCGACTGGTTTAAAGAAATGCTAAACGAGTCCACTTTTTGTTTCTTGAGCAGAAAGTGGTTCTTCATCGTTGGCTAGCTGCACTGAAACTACAGAATCCTCCAGTTAGCTGTAGGGTTTCTAGGGTTTTTGAGTCAGTCACACCATAATACAATGCTTTAAATTCAAGCATCAGTTTAATATTCAGTGTGTAACTTGATGGAGCATTAAAAGTGTGACTCTGTTCATGCCTTTCCTGTGATGCAATAATTGATTTTTACAAGTATAGAGCATGATGTCAAGTACTAATGATGTAAAAGTACCTGTTCTATCTGTTAAACCACCGGTACGACAGTTTAAACCTTCAGTAAGACGTTTAAGATGGATTGTTTGTTCATTTCTCATTTTCATCGTGTAGATTACTTAGATGATCTCTTTGAGTCAACGCAGAACTTTCTATCAGTTACTTTCCATCCTCAAAAAACAATGTATTAATCTAATTTTCCTACATATTGGGCCACAGATGCCAATAACGAAAATCCATCCATCCATTATCTATACACCGCGTAATCCTCACTGGGGTCGCAGGGAGCTGGAGCCGATGCCAGCGAACTCAGGGCGAAGGCAGCGGACACCCTAGACAGGTCACCAGTCTATCACAGGGCTAAACTTAGAGACAGACAACCAAGCACACTCACTTTCACACCTACGGACAATTTAAAATCACCAATTAACCTCAACATGTTTTTGGACTGTGTGGGAGGAAGCCGGAGAACCCGGAGAGAACCCACGCTGCACGGGAAGAACATACAAACTCCATGCAGAAAGATGTGTCCTCACCGGGACGCAAACCAGTGACCTTCTCGCTGCGAGGCAACAGTGCAAACCAACGACCCACCTTGCAGCCCCCGAATAATGAAAATGACATATACAAAAATGATTAGAACCTTTACATCATTCGTACTTGACATCATCCTCTGTACCTGTAAAATGAATGACTGCATCACAGGAAAGGCATGAACAGAGACAGCAAAAGGCCTTTTCTGTTTCGAACTGTACATGAGGCCTGATTACACACCACACCATTATTCTCTATTTTTACCCAAGTAAAAAAAAAAAAAATCACTACAGGCTGTCTAGAGCGGAAGTATGGCAGACTAATCAGGATACATTAGCAGCAGGGATATTTTTGGGTAAGAACATTCAGAAGTTATTTCTCATAAATGTGATGGCACCTTGTTCAAGGACTTTCCTGGTTGGCAGATAATCTCTTGATCCCACTAGACAAATATTTAATTTCAATGAAGCTAAATAATGTTCCACTGTACACCATGCAGAATTTTTTTTCTCTCGCAGTGTTATTAACGTACCTGTACTATCCTGTCCTTGGGCAGCAGGCCGGACCTCTCTGCTGGAGAGTCTTCATCCACAGCTCGGATGTACTGGCCCGGCCGCGCCCGCTCGCTGTGCAGGTTGAAGCCATATCCGTTGGGGCCTCGCTGGATCACACAGAGACGTGGCCGAAGTTCAGTAGACACCTCCTGGAAGAAACCACAGAGGAGAAAATGTTAGTAATCTGTATGTGACATGCATTAAGAAAACAAACTAGCCTTCTGAAAAATACCTCCACCATGGGTGTCTGATCAGGAAGAACGACAGGCACAAAGATCACGGAGAGCTCCTGTGAGTCGTTTACCATGAAAATGAAGCCGAGGCTGAACATGCAGCTGGCTGCCGCATGCTGCTGTGTTGTGCACTGTGTTTTTGACAATCAAAAAGTAAACTGAAGCTGCTCTCAGAGTCCATGTGACCCTCACTGCTCGCCAGGAAGGAAGCGGGTCTTGGAGGCATGTGATTGGAGCTCTGCTGGAAAAGGTTTGTGGAGAATTTGAGGAGGGGGAGCTCTGAGGAAGGGACCAGGTTCCGGTGTGTTTTGCAGCCCGGCTCGCTCCAGGCTCCGAGAAGGACAATGGAAGCTGGGCGTCGACCTCTGACCGCCTCCCCTCACCCAGGCCTGTTCTGGGATGGCAGGAAGAGTTAGAGCTGTATTGTCATCCAGGAAAAAACTCAAGCCCGATCCCAGAACCTCCCTTCCGCTGTATGGATGAAGCAGTTTCTTTATTTAGCAGAGAGGGGACTTTATTGGCTTTTTCATCAAAGAAAGCCACATATAGCGTTGGAGCCACATACTGGAGCTCAGGAGGGACAGTCAGGTCAGGGTAATCGCTGTCACTGTGACCAGATCTGACCTGACACTCCCTCCACATCAGAGCTCCCACCCTCGGTCAACCGAGCGCTCCGAGATAATGAAGCTCCTATAAATAAGTCAGTGTGAATGAGTCACTTTCTACAGAAAACACTGGCAGCAGCCTTATTGATTAAAACATAAATGAAGTGTGGACATTTTAATAAACTGAGGCGGTCTGACTCAACATTTTTTCTCATAACGCAACTTGACAGTGGCAGAGAGCGATTGTCACTTCACTGTGTTATGTAAGACAGCTGCTCTTGGCTCACCCCCTCCATCGTCCAACAAAAATGAACTATTCTCTTAGTAAAACACCTGAAGAAACATTATACCTTTGGTCCCATTTCCAGGAATGACCAACAAGAGGAAGATATATTGTTTAACATGAAACTTTTTAGAAATACAAGGTAAACATTATACAAATAGTTAAAAACACAGACGCTGATGGTTCCAAAACAGGGAACTTCATTTCCTAGAAACCGTGTCATGTTACAACAGCACACTGCCCAAACTGCACTGATGTTTATTAGTATGAGTGAACTTACGGACTCAGGACATCAGAAAGAGGGCAGAAGTAACAGAAATTCTATTGGTGAGTCCAAAAAACTTGCAATTTCACTCTTTTGCTGTATTTTCTGATCAGTTTCCTGCCAACAGAAGTTTGATTTTAGCCAAATACTGAATAAAGATGCACATTCTCCTGCAAACAATTTGTGCATTAAGGCAGAAAAGCATCATTGTTGCATAAACATACTGCCGTGATGAGGACTATTTCAAATAAATTGTGAAATATCCTTTCAGCCTGTGAGTTACATCCCACAAGGTGCAACTCTGACCCGAGGTTTTTACAAGACTCTCGCAGAGTCTGCAGCACATGTAGCAGAGTAAGCAACACAGGTAATTAATAAACAATGACTCGATCATTTAACCCTTTCAGTTTAATGCGAACACATTATATGGATTTATATTTAAAGAATATCAGCAAATATATTGATATTGTAACTATTTACGCAACAAAAGTTGGTATCGGTCTTGGCACCATCCCTGAAAACTTCTGAAAGCGCCTGGCTTTGTCCAAGGCAGCAAAGTGCACAAGCAGCCACTCTAAAGCTCAATATTTAACCTGCTATATCTTATTTGTTTAATCCACACGGAAACAAAAGTTCAAAACCAGTTGAGTGAGTTGCAACCAGGGAGTTTCTGCACCCTACCAAGAATTAATGAACAAACTCTTAAGCAAGAGTCTTTTAAAAAGTCTTTAGCAAGGATTTAAAAGTCTTATGTAAAGGGGTCGAGCGTTCCAAAGGTTAGAGGCAGCAACAAAAAAATGCACAATCCCCCTTTTGTTTTTAACCTGGATTTAGAAAAGAAATGTTGCAGCTAAAGACTTAAAACCTTAAAATCAACTCTGAAATGAGCAGACAACCAGCTGCGCTCTCTTTTAAAGTTACCAGTTAAAAGGCAATCTGCAGTAGAGCTGCGGTCTAGATGAAATAAAAGCACGCATGACGTCGCTCTGCCCTTATCAAATGATTTGATCTCTTTGTCCACTTTTCAAAGCATTGTACAAGTTCACACCTAAGTCCAGGATGCAGGTCAGGAGCATTAATAACGTCTAACAGCTGCCGTCACACCTCAAATCTTCTGATCCATAAGGTCTAAAAGACAAAAATACCTTGGCTAACACTACGCCGTGCCACACTCTTCTTCCGATATGCAGTCTAACATGCACAGGGAGTTTTGTCTGCTCTAATCAGTGATGCAGATTGACCATCTTAGTCTGTCAAGAGCCTGCTAAGTAGCTGAACACATTGCAGCTGATCAGATGTTTCCTGATAAGAGCCCTACAGTCGCAGTTTCATCATAGCGTTAACTGATTATACAAAAATGACTCTTTTTTTTCCTACGGTCTCAAGTGTCACACCCAAACTAGAACACCCTTCCTCAAAGAGTCCTTTAAATGTGAAAGCACAGACTAAACAGAGAAGTGGAGGCTGTCTTTTATCTCTTTTATTCTGTCGGTTGAGCTGCTTCTGACTTTTTCCCTCATGTGAAAGCCTGAAATCACCTCAGAGAGTTAACTGCGAGATGCCACAGTAAAGCTTTATCTGCATGGAGGCTGTGAATGTGATTACATTTTTGAAGGAACAAGGAGTTCTCAGTCTATCAGAGCAAACTATTGCATATGATTCAGTTACTCAGATCACCACGTGCACCGTTTTGACACTCCAGAGATGCATCGTTGATCAGGACGCCCTGCAGCCCTGGCATCAGACTCCTCCGACACTCGTCGGCTTGATGTTAAGCGTTAAGGGAGAGGGTGAGAGAGGGCGAGAGAAGGCGAGGGAGGCCATGGCAGCGACAACAGAGGAGTGTTTGTGCCGGAGAGGAGTGGAAGGCTGAAGAATCTCCACGCGGGTCTGAAATCTGTGGAATCTGCTGAACACACACAAGCAGGACGGCAGCCGAAGACGCACTGATGATCAGATGCATGTGTGTGTGTGTGTCTGTAAACGTCACAGTTAGAAAAATGAGCTGCAGATATGCGACGTGCACCGGAGAGAACATTCATGGGACGTTCTGTAAACTCCCCAGCTGATATCGTAACTCCTCCTCACACAATCAGCTGTGACTGCGATATATTCAGCCGCCTTATCGGCCCTAATTTACACTGCGCTAAGTATTTGCTACAGACGGGCTCAGTCTGGAGGTCAGCTGAGTTCAGGAACATTTGTGTGCTTCCTCTGACACTTTGTTTAGTTTAGAGACTTTCCCAAACCCTAAAGCTTGTGCAAGTACATGACATATGGGAGGAAAGTTGATAAAAAATAATCTACTGATGCTGTTTCCTTGGATTTTGTTTGGTTGTTGAAGTCCAGAATTTTTTTTAAAAACATGATCTCGTCAGCAAAATACTAAGAGAAACAAGACTTTCATTGAGAATAAAACAAAAGCCAAATAAATCTGCAGAGAGTATTTACAGGATTCTTGATTTCTTTTTAACCCTAAAAACACCCATTAGAGGATTCATATAACACTCAGTGTCTATGTGGGCTGATCAATCTCACTAATATTCCACATTTTCCGATTTGTCAATCTTTGAGGGGGGAAGCTAAAAAACAAGCTATCTCTAACTAAAATGAAAAACGAAAAGGTTTCTGTGCACATAATCCTCACCATTATCAATATTCCTGCATCACTTTGAAATCAAGTCACACTCTGTAATCTCCTATTGTGTGAAAAGTTCCTCTTGCCCTCCCCTCCGAAAAAAACCCAACACAAAACAGCGTTTCGAGATGAACACACTCTCAGTGACACAAACTTTCCCTGTGAGGAGGGAAGTGTTGAACAGGAACTGTTGACACATCTTCCCTCAATATGCTTCCCTCTGCGTTGGCTCAACTTCCTAACATGAAAGAAAAATCAATACACAAACACACACAAGTGCATGAAACACACATGCACTCACGCACACCGTGGTGGTGCAGGAGGCTTTCATTAGGTCGCATGTAGGGGATGAAGTGTCTGTAAAAATTTAATGAAATGACGTTTTTATTTCCCTAAAGAGATGATAAATGCATTATATTAATGTATTTGACAGGCAATAAGCAAAATATCTTATTTATGTGCTCACAGGGCAAATCTGACTCAGATTTAATGCACAGCTTGCTAAGAATCATGAATGATAAAAAATATATAGTTTTAATCAGCTTCTAAACCCCATTTAATATTACAGCTTCATGTTTTTCTACATGTATCTGTGCATGTGTGGATAAAGAAGAAAAAAACCACCTGACAAAGCCAGAAAACACGACAGATCTTATTAAGATGCTCAAGTTTTGTCAACACAAAGATGCGACTCCTAATCCGATATAACACCACACTCTTCTCATGATAACACTGATTCACTGGGAATGTATCATGAGCTGGATTGTGATTTTCAGCTCAAACTCACTGACATAATTTCTGGTTGAGCTGACCTTGAGCTCACTTTTACAAATTACTTTACATAATTCTGTTAATATTAAACTATCCATAGCTTCTATTACTAGAGCAGCATGAACACTGACCGATGCAAAGTTAAGTAACACTGGGCAGCACAACAACGTAAAACCTTTTTTTTCTTTTTTTTCTTTTGGTCATACAGAAAGCAGAATTGCACAATATTTGTTTTCAGAAATTCAATCTCATGTTGGGAACTGCAGCGTTTCACCCAGAGACACTTTCTTTCAGGAAACTAACACGTGACAAAAGTTTCTATCAACCAAAAAAAAGAAAACCCCAAAAAACAGC